ATGGGAGGGAAAGTTTTCTAGACTTATTTCATAGACTGCCATATAACATTGTAAAGATTAATGATAATTTACTTATATTATAATTTAGTTTAGTCATTTTCCTATTTTATTGAAAAGACTATACCTACAAGAGTGTGTCACAGAAAAGCAATCTTTTCAGTCAGACTGAGAGCTGGCCATGCCAGCAACAAGGAGTCTATAGATGTCTTACACCAGAACAAAAAAAGTAACACTGCCTAATGTGAAGTAACTGATTAGGTAAATTCCCAAATCAGTCAATATTTAAATGGAGAATAGGGAGAATTACTAAATTTAGTTAGTAAAAGAGTTAAGGCTTAAACTTTATATGTCAGTCAACTAACTGTGCAGATATTTAATGTTGTTGTAATATACATTATTTTCAAACTTGGGACAAGGGCAATATTAGACTCTTTATCCTCAAGATGCTTCTAGATCATCTGGGCAAAACAAGATTGGACACAAAAGATAACTTTAACAAAACTAATTAGAGTGAATCTTGTAATTATATTAGAAAAGGCAACTTATTTTTACTGAATCACCTGAATTTTTAAAGTAGGTTTGTAAGAGTATTTTTGGCCTGAGTTATCTGGATACCATTATGACTCAGCTTTTCTTGCTTACCTCCCTCATTTTCACTTCCCTCAATTTTTGATTCCTAGCAGCCCAACTTTATCTGTTCTCATTGATCACATTATACAGATATCTTACCAATATCCAATTTACTTTGTTCCTCGTGGACAAAATATAAATGACACTTCTTTAAGATCATAGTTAGCTGATGTAAAAGACTAATTATTTTCGTCCCATTTTCTCGTCAGTGTAAATCCAAATCATGCTCCAGGCTATTTAAAAAGATCTACTGAGAGTAGAGAGAGGTTGAGTGTCCTCACACAGCTATGTCCAAAAACCAGTCCTCTATCAGCTGCTGAAGGGCAGCTTAGGCTGCCTGGAGGCCAGGGAGCCCAGCATGGAACAATGGCAGGAAAATAGAGTTCCCTTCATTCCTTAATTCACATGCAAGTGAGGTGCCAATCAAGTGCTGACAAGCATGGAGAAACCAAAATCAAAAGTGGGTAGCGATACACTTTCAAAAGGGGCTGTTTTCACACATTTCTAAGTGATTTTTTAATGATGGTTGTGAATATACTACTAATAACATGAAAAGAAAAGAAAAATACAAATTTTGTATCAGTTGAGATGATTCAATAAACTAATAAAATATATTTATGAAAATCACTTAAAATGTTTATAAAAATATATGAACATTCTTGTTTTGGCTAAGCAAGTAAATTTTGATTCAAATTGATATATTGAGCACTGCAAAGGTAAAGTGTACTGAGATCATTAACTGGGTACTGACAAAGAAAGCCTGCTAATTTCCAAATTAAATAAAAAAGTTAAGGTTACTTGATTCTGCCAAACAGATCACCTAGAAAGATAAGAACAAAACACTGAAATGGCCAAAAATAAAAGCGATGAAATCACTTTATCATAGTGGCTGGAGAAAAAGATGAAGAAGGTCAAAAACTGCATTGTTTTAAAATCACAGTTAATTTTCAAAAACTGACCCTGAATTTTTTACAACTGATACAAGGCAAAAGTAAGCTGCATTATTTGTAGATTTCTTTCCAGATGAATTTGGTAAATATATTCTAATTATGGTTACTAATTCTACTATGTGCAAAGTAAAATTTTTAAGAAATTTCAGGCTTTGTAAATGATGGTTTAATAATGTAACTTTGCATATTGGCATTATTTTAAGTATACAGAAAAGATAACAGAGGCAGATATATTACTTTTAAAAGTTTATTATCAATTCATGAGATGAAATAGTTCTTTCCTTTTGTCTTTAATGACTAAATCCTACAATCAAGAGCTGTCTTATCAAAATTTATTTTTACTAGGAACACAGAAAGTTTAGATAACTGAAAATTTAAGTTGTTACCATATGGTGAGAGTAAGAGCAGTTAATAGCATATTTTTAATATCATGTTACTTATTATAGTAAAATATATACTTTTTTTAATGATGTTAGATTTAACCAGGTTGTAAAATTTACTACCATAAAATAACATTGATTTTGAAAATAAATCTCTGATTATAAGATATTCTTCAGGATACATTCAACACTTTAAGATACAATATATTAGTAAATTATATTCTCACTTTTCAAAAACAACAACAGCAAAATATTAAAGCCGTAAGTAATTGCATTTACTGGTAAAACTGTACTTGCTTCAGTTTACATTTAAAACTACATTAATGTAAATACATTTATTTATATTAAATAAAATGGTTCTTGAAACTCATGACATAAAGAATGTGAACTTGCATGACAATGGTAGAAAAACAATTTCCATGTATTCAAACATGATGATGATGCTACAAACTAAGACTGTTCCGTAAGAAATGTGTGTGTGTGTGTGTGTGTGTGTGTGTGTGTGTGTGTGTGACCTTTAATAAAAAGCAAAATTTTATGACAATTTAAATGACTGAAATCCAAAAGATTTACTGTCTGACATGTATAAAGCACTACTGGGACAAAAAAAACAAATCATAATTTAAGATTTACATATTAATCCTTATAATTTACTTGCTTGTAAAGTTAATATTAAAATTTTGAACAAAAGTAAAACATTTCATACAGTACAGTTATGTTGAAAAGTCCTGAAAGAATGCGTATTTGTCAACATTTTAAAACCACGAGTTTTTAAATCTTTTGCTTTTGCCTAAAATTGAGTAACTTTTTTTTTTTCAGTTTTAGGCAAAAGCAAAAGATTAAAAAACATTTCAATGTTTATTATTTCTTTAACAATACTGCATTTTAGAAAGCCTTTCAAACAAAAACATACTAGACCTAAACATATTAATCAAATTTGTCAAAAAATAATGTAAAATTCATCAGTGTACAATGTTATTTGCTTAAAGGAATCCATAGTATTAGGTCAGGAGCCACTCTTTATTCATTTGACACTATTTGTATGCTTCCATTACATAACCCCAATCAAAGTTATTTCATTAAACGTAGCAAAAAGAAAAAAAAAAGACGATGAGATAATTGTCATTAATACTTTAAACCCCAAACAACGTATATTACATTAAATAGACTTCTCAGCCCTGGCGTTGCCTGACAGATATGTGATGTGCCAGTGGTTATATTATATTCCTCCTCCCATGCATGTGCCTCCTGCAGAGATAGCAGACTACAGAAGCTGACCCTTACTGAGACCATCTTGTCTCTCTGACAAAGCTCCTTTTTAACTTCTTACTTACTGGTTACTTCCTGTGATGGAGAAAAACTTTAGCTCAGCTTGTGATAATTTCACAGGCCCTGAGGACCCTGACCCTAATAGCCTCAAGGTCAGAAGTCAAGTCTTGTTCTGAAACATCTGTGTGCTTTATATTAAAGTGGAACAAAAGTGGAGAAATATCCACCAGTGTGTGACAAGCAGGACAGGCAAAATAGGACTGACACACTGGTCATCTGTTAACTCTAGCATCTTCAGTTCATTTTAAAACCTGTCCAAAAGGCATGTAAATTTCAAGTTTGGTGTGTAAAGGTTTTCATAAACTGTCTTAAAGTTTAAAAATGGGAATTTATGTTATACAGAACTCTGAAATTTGATTAGCCTTGCAGACTTTCAGACATATTTTAAGTCACTCTACAAGTCAAGAAATTTCATGCTTTAAGTAATTTAACAGCTTACAAAGAAAAAATAAGCTATATATAATCTATATCTATGGAGATATATAACTATATATATTTATATATATAGCTATATATCTATATCTGTAGGGATTGAAAGGAATTATTTGAAAAACAATATTCATATTTTAAAAAGTACATCATACTAGTATGTTAAAGAGCTATCTTAAGATATATCAAAATAAATAAATTAATTCAGTACAGTTAAAATTAGTTGAAAATAATCCCTAAAAACTGAAATAAATATAGGAAATAAATGATTTAACTTAACAATTTATTGATCTTAAGACAGTAGAAGCACTTGTGGAGTTAGGTCAGCTAAAATATTCTCAGATGTCACTACCAATTTAATAACTAAATCAAGAGGATAAGCACAGGGAGGCTGAAAAGGTCATAGAAATATATTTAATTTCCATGTCAGAAAGAAACAGGCCAAAGTGTCTCTGGTTTAATGTCCACTTAGATCTATTTGGATTTAAAATTATCAACTTTAATTTTATCAAATTAATCATTTTATGATAGGATTGGTAACTTCCTGTAATGTAAGATATTATGGACAGGGAGGCATGAATTCTTCTTTAATCCATTATTAGAATTGATTATATCACATTAACCGTGCTGGCCCATGATTGTGACATTGTAATATTACATCTAAAACAGATGGAATTCAGAAATTTTGATGATTTTTTCCCATCATGTACACATAATCTTAACTCCAAGAATCAAATTATGTTGAAATATGAAGATTTCTATGACCAAACAATGCATTCTAGTTAGAAGCAGATTAATGGAAGCTTTCTGGTAGTTTTAATATTAATTATATAAAATTCTGATCAAGTATCAAGTACAAGTCAGTTAAAAACTATCAAAATATTCTCAAGTATTCAAAAAGTCTCTTGAAATTTTAAATACTTTAGAGATAACATACCCTCAGTGGTGTGTACATAAGCCTCAATGGTCATACATAAAGCAGGAAGCATAATAAATGTCATGAAATGTATGATAATTGGCACTATAAGGTAGAAATTAAAAACTAGCATGTAAATAAGGAAAAGGCAAAAAGCTTTCTGGTTAACACTAAAAAGCTCTGTCACCATAAAATGAATTAGTAAATTAATAAATTCTTTTCAAGCATCATAAAAGTATTTAATCAAAGTATGTTATTTTTATCCTTTATAACATAACTTAAAGAGTAATGATACCAAAAGAAAGAAAGGAGAGCGGATAAACCTACAAGCAGAATAGAACTAAAAAGAATAAAATATGCACTTACCAGTTCAACAAAAGCAAGTCCCCCATAGCTATGAGCAACAAAAAATACATTCTCAGCAGCAGACTGAGCTATGAAATGATCCCAAACATAGATTGCATGTTCTTCAGGAGAACCATTTTCCTATATGGGAAACAAATATCACATATTACATAGTGTATCTAATTACTATCATAGCAAAAAACAATTAAAATGTATGCTACATACACAGCATAAGAAATACAATGGTTATAGCTCATTCAAAATGAAAATAATACAAAAGAACTACATTGAAAATTCAAATTAGAGAATATGAGAGGACTTCAAAAAGTATGTAAAAAACAAGAATTAAAAAATAAAAATAAAAAAAGAAACTTTATTTCTGAACATTTCAAGGTCAAGAAACTTTTTAAAGTGATGATACCAGCCTTTTAGTCTACCCTAAAGAACTCATGGTCCTGGCAAATTTAAACATGTCAATGCAGTTATTTTTTACATTTCTAACTCAAGAAAAGTGGTGCCCTTAAAGATTTTTTAGGATTAGAAAACTAAAAGTCAGAAGGAGCCAAATCAGGACTAGAAGGTGGATGCCTAATGATCTCCCAGAGAAACTCCTGCAAAATTACCCTTGTTTGATGAGAGGAATGAACAGGATATCCCTGTTGTTGAGAACTCTCTGATGAAGCTTTCCCAGGCATATTTCTCCCAAAGCTTTGGCTAAATTTCTCAAAACACTCTCATAATAAACAGATGCTATCATTCTTTGGCTTTCTCGGAATTCAATAAGCAAACTGCATTGGGCATCTCCCCAAACTGTTGCCAGAACCTTTGCTCTTGACAGGTCATATTTTGTTTTGCCTGGACCACTTCCACCTCTTGGTAGCCATTGCTTTGATTGTGCTTTGTCTTCAGGATTGTACTAGTAAAGCCATGTTTCATCTCCTGTTATAATTCTTTGAAGAGATGTTTCAGGATTTTGATCTAAATGGTTAAAAATGCCCATTGAAATATCTGCTCTTGTCTACAGTTGATCTGGGTTCAACAGTTGTGGTACACATTGAGTGCAAAGATTTTTCATCTTGAATTTTTCAGTCAAAACTGCATTAAGTGGAACCAACTGAGATATCTATATGTCAGCTACTGTTTCTGTTGTTAATAATTGATGTCATCAATTAGGGTACAAACAAGATTAATTTTTTTCTCTCAAATTCATGCAGATGGTCAGTTGCCATGAGCTTCACCTTTAACATCGTCCTGTCCCTTATTCAAATGAGTTAGCCATTTTTAAACTACTGATTTCTTTGGGACAATGTCCTCATAAACTTTTTGCAAAACATCAATGATTTTACCATTTTTACACCCAAGCTTCACTATAAATTTGATGCTTGTTCTTGCTTCAGTGTTAGCAGAATTCATATTGCTCTGACAGGTGCTCTTTTTAAACTGATGTCCTATACTTCTTAGTGCCTTGAATGAGATCCTGTTCAGCATGTTACAGCAAGTTAAGAGTTTATCTTGGTGCAATAAAAATAAAATACATACATAGATTTTTCATAATATGCATTTTCCATGAACTTTTTGAAGGCCCCTCAAAAATTAGTAAGTACATTAGAATTATATAGCAGAAAGTTTTACTGGTCTTTTTATAAAACAATGTAATACTAAAAAATTTATTTGCATTCTCATATTTAGATGTGAAAATACTTAATAATGTATATATCTAAGTTATTTTATTTATAATATTTTAAGTATCTCTGTAAGCTAAAAACAAGGAAAAATGAATAAATAATTTCCATTGAAATTATTAAAAAATATATACTTTTTTTTCAAAAAGCATTTTCTATACATATTGTACTTTTGGAATTGGGAAAAAAACCTAAATATATAAACCTAGGGCCTTTTCTATTTTTCCTAAGTTGCTAAATCCAAATAAATGTATATATGTTGCTGAAGTTGCAAAAGTTATATAATAACTTCATTTTGCTGTGTTTATTTCTATGGCTGACATATTGTGGTTAAAGCTAAAACCTGAATAATGTGAAAAACAAAAACAAACTAAAAAATGAAATAATACTGATCAAAAGCTAACTGTGAAGAACTGAAACATCATGAAAATGTTTTGTACAAACATTTCTTAGAAGCTTTAACACTAAACGACTCACTTCCTAAGAAGGTCACGGATGTTAGACAATGTACACAATCATATTTTCCTTTATAGAAATTTTGTAATAAATTATTAAGGTCCCTACATGCATGGCTTCATTTGCCATCTAGAAGTTAGTTTTCCCTATGTCTTTCTCTGTCCTACATTTCTCTCCAGAGCCACAAAGCCAACTACTTAATGGTCATTTCCTTCTGTATGTACCATAGACACGTCAAATTCAACCAATCCAACGCTGTACTAAAACTTCCTCTACAAATCTGTATTAACTAAGCTCCCCACATCCAGCTGAAATCTGAGAATCATCTTTCATTTCTCTCTCCCCAATTTTCTCATATAATCAATCCTTAAGATCTTATTGATCCTGCCACCAACTGTCTCTCAAGTCCATCTACTTCTCTCTCATTTCATCTGGGTTACCACAAGCTGCCATCATTTCACAAGTGGATGACCACAACAATCTCTAGCCTAGCTTCCATCCCTGTAGGATTGACCATTTACATGCTCTAATTCTGTAGTGAGAACAACCTGTCAAGAATGCAAATATGATCATGTTGCCAAGTTATTCACTCCCTGCTTAGAATCCTCCAGTTTTCACATTGCCCTCAGAATTAAGTTCAACCTCTTTTTTTTTTTTTTGAGACAGAGTCATGCTCTGTTGCCTGGGTTGGAGTGTGGTGGCACCACTTCAGCTCACTGCAAAGTCACTGCCTCCCAGGTTCAAGTGATTGTCTTGCCTCAGCCTCCCAAGTAGCTGGGATTACAGCCATGTGGCGTGCCACCATGCTAAGATAATTTTTGTATTTTCAGTAGAGATGGGTTTCACCATGTTGGCCAGGCTGGTCTCAAACTCCAGACCTTAGGTGATTCACTCACTTTGGCCTCCCAAAGTCCTGGGATTACAGGCATGAGCCACTGTGCCTGGCCCTCAAACTCCTTAGTATGACATTCAAGGCCCTTTATGATCTAGCACTGTCTATTGAATTTTATCTTTCAACCATTGCCCTACAAAATACCTTGATCCTGAAGACATCCCTTTGCCCCGAGAAGACACAGAGAACATTCACTGTGTTTCAGTTGTAGGGAGCAACCTGAAGTAAAGTAATGGTGCCATATTTTGCTTAACTGTGGAGTATTGCATTTGTCCAGAAAGTGATCTCTGTGCTCTGTCCTCCCTTCCCATACCACCTTCTACTGCATACTCCCTACTTGTCTTCAGTGTGGAAATGAGATATCACTTCTTCTGGAAAGTCTGCCCTATTTTTCCCAAGGACTAGGTAATATCTTCTAACACCAACTTGTGAATGCTTCCTATTATAGCACTGAAGGAGCTGTACTGTAATTACAAGTTAGATTGTCAAATTCTCGAGGCCAAGAGCTGTGTCTTCTTGTTTATTAAATCTTAGTGTAATAAATGAATAACAAAAACACATTTATGTTCAGGTTGATTACCTACAACCTTGTAGTCATATATTAAAATACAAACATACTTTCAAAGACATTTCTTAGTAACATAAATATGAAATTGCCCACACTGAAGATTGAATAAAACAGCTGGGAGGAAAACCTTGTAGGGATTTTAGGCTTTCATAATTTAGCTTTTATTAGTTTAAAGGGTAAGAAAATGGTTATCATAAAAACGAGGTTAGTGGTGAACTTTAAGGAAGGGAATGAAGTTGTGACTAAGAAACTAACTTTTAGTGGCTGCCAGTGTTTTCATTTCTTGTCTGGGATGATATCAGTGTTTTCTTTATAGTTATTCTTAAAACCATCCATACATATTTAGCACTTTTCTGTAGACATATCTGGAGTGACCATACAATTTGTTGTTCAAACTTTTGAGAGTGAAGAGAGATATTATCAGTAATTGTAGTGAGAAAATAGGTCTAAATTGGGACTATACAGAAAAATCCTGGACACGTGGTGGCCCTAGTTACAGCTCACAATGAACAAAATATGAAAACAAAATAAAAGGAGAGTTAGCAGAGTTTCCACCTATTGATAGGATAACTGTCAATAGGCAGAAAGTTAGCAGTTTCCAGAGTGGAAAGTTAGCAGAGTTAGCAGAGTTTCCACCTACTGATAGCATAAAATGGCATAACGAACCATTTCAGATACCTGTGATGGTCCTAAATATTCCATATATGGACAGGATTACATATATGTGTGTGTATATATATATTTATATGTGTATATATATTTATATGTGTATATATATATTTATATGTATGTATATATATATTAGATATGCATAGATTACTCTGTCCCCATTAAGCTCTGTGCTGGAAGTGGAGGTGGAAGAATGATAAGTATCCCATGAACCTAGCCTTTAATAAGTTAGAGGTATTAATACATAAAGACTTCAGAAGCAGTAGTGTGTGAGTAGTATTACTTCTTTTGCTCCTGTTGGATTGTCCTGACACCAAGGCTAATGGGTCCATTACAAATTCATACTGTCAGACCTCAGTGAGTTTCTCCCTGCTGTCTCCTCACCGTTACCAATTCTCTTTTTATACTGTTGGGATCCTATTTGTCTCATTCTTTCCATTCTCACCACTATTTAGGTTTTCTTACATTAGACTTTAGTCTCATTTTTTTCCAGTCCAGTGGTCACCAACCATTTTGGCATCAGGGACCAGTTTTGTGGAAGACAGTTTTTCACAGACAGAGTGGGAGAGATGGTTTCGGGATGATTCAGGCACATTAACGTTATTGGGCACTTTATTTCTATTGTAATATATAATAAAACAATTATACAAATAACTGTAATGTACAATCAGTGGGAACTCTGAGCTTGTTTTCCTGAAACTAGGTTGTCCTATCTGGGGGTAAGTGATGGGAGACAGTAATCTGGGGGTGATGGAAGACAGATCATCAGGCATTAGATTCTTACAAGGAGTGCACAACCTAGATCCCTCATATGGACAGTTCACAATAGGGTTCATGCTCCTATGAGAATCTAGTACTGCAGCTGATCTGACAG